CAAGACCGCGATACAACCAAGATTCCTTTGTCAGACCTCGCATCTTTGCTGCGGTTCAAGGGCTGTGAGCTTGTGCGCCGGGACCGGCTTAGGACTTTTTGTATACTCGAATCGCTTCAGTACAGTCGAATGGGTCCGGCAAGGCGACGTGACGAGCTATAGACCGTTTGTGGCGATACGTTTCTGTGAGAAGCTTAAAAAATCGCCGCTGCTTCGCATTTCAATGCCACTGATTGACTTCGTTTGTGCAATTGACGCTTTTGACGATTTGTGACCTGTGACTTGCTGCATAGCCTGGTTGTGAAGCCTTGTCTAATTTTGGTGAATTCATTTCCGTGGTCTACAGCTCAGGTCCTGACTGGAGCTCACTCTACATCTCCGGGCGTGACAGAAAAAAGAAAGTGCGTCTCACCTCTTCTTGCTTCGCACTACACACCGTGGTCGCGATACGACCACTTGATGACGTTTGTGGTCATATCGATGGTGCGGCTTTTTGAAGGTCTAGTGCGGATTTGTTTTGTTGTTTTCGGAGTGGCAGGCGCAGTATCCCTCTCCGTCTCCTTCTCCCTCTTGTCCCTCTCATCTCCGTCCATCACATCATGAGCCATCTTATCACACACACATACCTCATCAGCATATGCGTGTCATACACCTCCTTTCCTCCCGCTGTGTTCTTCCCTTTTCATCCCACTACCCCGTCTCACACCTCACGTTATACACACTTGAAATTTGTAAAGACCTATCATGTGGGGTTATCCGGTCTTTTTGTTTTTGAAGGGGCCACGTCAACCCCCTTTGGGGCATGGTAAGTTCATTATTCACACATTCCACAGGCCTGACACAATTGGCAAGGCAGAATCAACCAGGGGAAGTGTGGCAGGTAGCCATATGGAAACTCAGTCCTGCTCTGTCACATCCCATGAGAATATCATGAAAAATCATGGAGGTGGAAGACCACCTGTTGATATAGTAATTGGAACATGGTCATCCTTTTCGGGGCCATCCACGTCACCATGATGATTCCAGGGCCCAACTGTCCAGGGCCAGGGTCCGATCTTCCAACCGGTCGCTGTTCTCGTGATTGGACTCGACCCCAGAAAAGCACCGCCGTTGAGTTGTTCCAATGGATTTGGACACGAATAGAATTCTCAAAAAATGGTCTCTTCCGGGAAAGGTTACAAAGGCGCACACAGAAGGGAAGTTTGCTCATGTCAGGGCCTGGTTCACCATGGCAACTTCAATGCCGTGATGGCAGGTTTGCCATAATGCGTACTGTAATTTGCCTTTACCATGTCCAAAACATGTCCAGCGTAGCAAACAGTTTTGCCGTTTGTAACTGTCAGTTGGTTGCCGAGTGGGCAGATTTCTAATGATTCAACGCATTTTGACCATCTTTGGCAACCTCCCGAGCAAGCTACCCATTGAGATTTCAGCTGAGGGTTAGTCCCGAGGTGGAATAGCAAGTCCAAAAGGTTTCTATTGTGTCTTTGGCGTTGCGGTGTTTCTTCGGTTGCAAGCCAGGTGCTTCTTTCCAGATCGACATCCAGAACTTCGAGCAGAACCAGCAGGTGGACCCCTTAGAAAGAGAGAGAGAGAGAACCCGTGGTTCCTTGCAGGTTCCAGGTTTCTATTTTGTGGAGTGGGTGTTGGGGTTGCAATGAGGGATCCTGATTAGTACCCCCCTCCCTCTAAACAAATGTTCTACAATAAATACCACCAAATCAAATCTGGATTCCTGGGAGGATTCCTTGTGCAACTGATTGTAAATAGTATTGATTTTCCTTTCTTGTCATGGATTGAACGTTGTTCACATTCCTTTCTCAGGTTCTTTGTATTCTTGTTGTTGCCTTTAATCAAACTTGTTTAGGAACAATCTTCACTTCAATAAAGGATTGATCAAGGAATTGATGGCTTTGGGAAGCTGTCAGTTTTGAAGAAGAACTAGAGAAACCTATACACATATATAACTATATAACTACTTTTTAAACTTTCAGCAAGCTAGTCATTGGTTTAGTAGTATAAATAAGATCTCCTGAAATGGTTTTCCTGGTGAAAGCTTTCAATCGAGAACCCTTAAGATTCTATTATTTTGGATCAGGGGCCTTCCTGGCCTACCTTGAAAAACTGTGTTGGAACAATCTTCACATAAAGGATTGATTACTAAATTGCAGCTTTCGGAAGCTGTCAGCTGTGAAGAAGAACTAGAGAAACCTATAGTAATAGTAATTTACAATACTTTCAGCAAGCCAGTCATCGGCTTAGTAGTAGCATTAAGATCTCAGGGCATGATCTTGTTTTACTGGTGAAAACTATTGCACAATTGCGAACTCTTAAAGCAAATATATTTTTGAGGATCAGGGGATATCAGGGGCCTACCTACCTGGTCTACCACCTGGAAAATTTGTTTTGCTGGTTTTGGGAAGCTGTCAGTTTATGAAGAAGAACTCCAGAAACCTATATATATATAGTTACCAATTATCAATATAAAACAATAGTTTGCGTGCCTGGGACGGGAGGGGGGGTGCAGGTGGACAGGGCTCAGAAGGATTTACGAAATCTCCTTTGGGCCCATGTTTGTTTTAAGGGTTCTCCATTTATTACTATCAGGGTCCAACATTACCCCTCCAAACTCACAAGGTTCTAGAAAACGATGCTGAAGTTTCTCAAACGGCTGCCAAAACGGGCCGGTTAAAGGAAACAACATCAACAATCACCACAGGGAACTAACAGGACATCTAAAGGGCCTGACAATGCCTGACAAAACTAATCAAAGGCACTTGAGGGGAATGAGTTACAGGTATGCACAACTTGCAACCAGTTTTGATAGGTCTTGTAACAATGAATTACAACAGCCGGACTGCTAGACATGTTGCAATTTGACAAATATAAAATTATAATCATTGAAAACATCAAAGAAGTTGCAGGCGAGAAAGGCACACTGGATCTTAGATTTTGTTTTCAAAGAGGAAGACGACGCGTGCAGTATGGGTTGTTCAAAAAAAATACAAATTGCGCCTAATGGACTGTTTGGACCTAATGTGGTCGAAGGCAGATGGACTGGCAGCTCGGGCTACCAAACAAAATCCTCAGATACAGATACAATACATTTTCAGTGGTAGCAGTACGGGCAAGTTGACATGCGGTTGTTTCATGTTGTTTTCTCGCTCAGTTAATGGCACTATGATCATGAATCATGATC